AGTTGACAAAGGAATGGGTAAGCTAATGAGCAAGAAAAGCCGGACACAGAGTAAAGATGACAGCAAAACTGACACAGGCCTTGCCAGTTAGGATGAATACAGATTTAGCAGCAGTTAGAGTCTGCAGTTCCTCTTTTTTTTTTTTTTAATTGAGACACAGTCTCTCTCTGTTGCCCAGGCTAGAGTGAGTGCCGTGGCGTCAGCCTAGCTCACAGCAACCTCAAACTCCTGGGCTCAAGCGATCCTCCTGCTTCAGCCTCCCCAGTAACTGGGACTACAGGCATGCGCCACCATGCCCGGCTAATTTTTCTATTTGTAGTAGAGACAGGGCCTTGCTCTTGCTCAGGCTGGTCTCAAACTCCTGAGCTCAAGCGATCCCCTTGCTTCAGCCTCCTAGAGTTCTGGTTCCTCTTTCAGGCTTCAGGAAAGCCGGCGTGGGCCCCTCCCAAGGGCTGCTCACCAAGGTGAATGCGCCACACGGCGTGCTTGCTCATTGGCTGTTAATGTGGAGACTCGGGACGTGAGCCGAAATACCACAACATGGAGAACGAGGGAACTAGGACCCACAGCCAGCTTATGAAACATACCTCCCTCCTGCAGAGGGGAAATATGTCAGACAGGGCTACTAGGAGCTTGGGGAAGGATAAATGCCCCCCTTTTAGCTTTGCTTGTGGAAAAGAGACATTTCACATAGACTACTCTGTGAAAATAATTCATATCTAGTAATACAAAAGTTAAAGTAGATTATGGGTTGTGGGTCTTGGAAACCTATAGAAGGATCCGGGGGAAGAGCTAAATAACTGTTTATTACATGCATGAATGTATGAGTGAATGCATAAATAAGCATAAAATTATGCAGTAGGCTATGTACCGGCTGTGTCTGCCATTGCCTGTCCAGTCCCAGCACCTGTGAAGAGGGACGGTGCCTCACCCAAGATCGTAGCTGACATGAGCCATCACTGACTGTCCAACAACTCTGTGTCATGTGGCCTGGCTTGAAATAAGAAATGGACCAACTAAAGTCTTTTGAAATTTGGAATAGGGGGATTGAGACACTGAATGAATAACTCATAGGTGCTAGCCCTGAAAGGTCTTGTCAATCCGGAGCCAGAACCATTAAGGCCATGTTCAAGGTAAAGCTAAGAGCTGGTCGGGAGATACAGAGTAACAGAAAACCAACCAACCCACCAACCAACCTCATTTCCGCACACCGACCCCATTTTCCTATCTGAATACCCACATGTTTGTTCATGGTTTCCGAGTCCACATCGTTTGAGTCTGCCTATAGCTTGACTTGCTATGGACCTGACCAAACTCTTCATGGCCCCCACTCAAACGACACCCATAATCTGCCTGAAATTTATGTCTCTTTGTTCAGATTCTTTGGAGCTCTCCCTGGTCCAGCTCAGCTACATAAAGACCAGGCTCTGAGTCAGGTACCTTTGATCCAATTAGGCACAGACAGGGAGTTGGGGTCACATATTCCCTAGGGCTGCTCTTTGCAAGGGCTGTGTGGCCAGGAGAAGTTAGGTAAGAAGAGGCAGTTTGCCTCACAGGCAAGAAAAAAAAACAACTGGAATGGTTACCAAAACCTAAGTAGCAGGCTCACTCTTGGGAGTGTCAGTCTCTCTCCATCTGAAGGACAGGACTTTTGCAATTCTTAAGGACATTACTAGTTGGTACTGGCAAGGATACTGAATTGGAATTCTTTGGGATTCGTCCTAAGACCACTCTCCCTCTCTACTTCCACCAAATCTCCTTTCATTAAGTAAAACTCTTATTCTATGGAGAATTGCTGTATTTCAGGTTAAAAGTTTGCTTCCTATTTTCCCCTTTAGATAAAAATAATTTCACTGTAATGAAATCAGAATATAATGACGTTGCTGACAAGTTCTGGGTGATACTTGGAAAACGATTGTTCATCTCAGAAGCTATGTAGATTGCATATTGCCTACAAATTCTTCCCAATGAGGACAGGGCATGCCCCTTTGCAATGTGACTTTGAATCTCCTCCAATCAAGAGGTTGAGTCTGTTTCTCCACTCCTTGAATCTGGACTTGGCCTTGTGACCTTGCTTTGGCCAACGGGAACACTAGCAAACGTGATCCCCAAAGAGCATCATGCTTGTGCATTGAGGTTCATCCTCTCTTGCTGCTGAGACCCTTCTTCTAGCACATGGGCTAGCATCCCTGAAGATGCGAGACCACATACAGAAAGGTCCGGGTCATCTCAACCGTCCTAGCTGAGGCCCCAGACATGGAGAGCTTCCTAGTACATATAAGCCTAGACAGGGACTACCAAGTCAACCCATAGAATTGTGCAAAATAATAAAGCTGCAAAGTTCTGGGATGGTTTGTTATGCAGGAGCTACCTGACACTGGAACCTTCTGGGATGGCTCTTTAGCGTCCTTGTTCTCTTCCATAGTTAGGGGCTGGTGGTCATTTGATATCCCCTTCAGACTGCACCATCTCAGTAAAGAGTGTCGGACAAATCTGTCATCCAGCCCCTCCCCTTCAGGGCTGGGGTCATATGACTCCTTTTACCCTATTTCTACACAACTACATTATTCCTGCATTTTTCTGTGTGATGCTGTTTTTCTGTGTTTGGAAATGTCCTAGTCCTTCTGGCTTCCAATGGGAACGGTTTATCCCTTGAACTGTCGGTGCCGTCAACTCAACCAGTGCTGTATTACATTGGGTTTCATTATCAGGAATCCTCTTTCCCCTTTAGCTTCTCTCCGACTTTCTCTCTTAGTCCTCTCAGGGTCTGTTCCTTTGGCCTCTTGTTCTGGAAGGCACACCATGAGAAGCGACGCAGTACAGGAGAAAGAGAACCAGGGCTAGAATTGCAGGTCCTCAGTGCAACCATCGCCTCCCATGTTTGTTACCTGCGTGCCCTTCTCAGATTCCCATAAGCCCTTTATGCTTCCTGGCATCTGCCTTGCATTACACTAAGGCTGCCTCTTCCCCCAGTATCTTCAGGTTTTGCCCTTCAGAGGTCATTATTGCACAGCAGGTGACTCACTCAGCCCAGGGTTCCACCCAAGACCCACACAAGGTATAATAAAAACCAGCTTTATATATCAATCAGACTTGTAGAGGAGGGGCCAAAGATCACAGTCGTCTGAGGACAGATCTCAACTCTTACTCGAATGCTTTCTCAGATCTCAGGCTACTTCAGACTCTTTCACCCTCCTTTCAACTTTATGTGTTTCACATATTAAGTAGATTTGATAAAGCCTTCTTCAATTAAAAACAAAGTTGTCCCAGAAATGAAAGAATTGGCATTTTAAATTGGATATTGCCGAAAAAACATATTTTAAATGTTATTTTAACATTAGAACATAAAATAAAGAGGTAAGAAGCATTTGCCTATAACGTTTCATATTGCGTAGTGTCTAAGAACAACAGGCATTCTTGTCCCTCTCACCCTAGGTAGGCCAACACACAGCTTATTATGTAACACTCTTCTTGTAGTTTACATTTCATTCGTAAGATATTATTTATAACATGTAAACACTTTTAAAAGTTTAAAAAGCAAAACAATTCAGAAAGCATTCAAAATTGTTTTAAATGTTTAAAAATTTATAAAATCACCCTGAAAGGCACTCTTTCAATTTCTAGATTCCAGAAAATTCACTTAGAAATAGGGAGGGTTTCACATGAAAATTTATGGAAATATTGCCAAAACATTGTTCTGCAGACATAACAACTAAATGTCAGTTAGAAATATGAAAATACAAAAATCAAAAGTAGTCAAAGATGCCAAAAGTAGCACATTAAAAGATGTGCACAAAGACTTCACTAAGATTCACTAAGATTCTAAGTAAAAGACAAAAATGCCTGAAAACTCAACATTTCTTTGGGGAGTGAAGTCATAAAACTTCATGGTTCACAGAAATGACCAATAATGACAAACTGGTAACTAAAAAAATACATATCATCAATTTTTATTTGGACAAAGTTATTTTGCACTAAATACTTTTATGCTCTTGAGTAGTTTCTACTTCTTTACTCTCAGGCTGCAGTCAGAAATATTCAGTTCAAATCTAAAATATATAAGATATTTTTGAATGGACTACGTAGTGTGTAATCTAAAGACAAAGTGAATTTTGAGATTCTTCTTCAACTATTTCTCCCACAGTTTTCTCAGCATCAGTGAATATCAGTGAACACAAAGGGTAATTAGGAAGCCCAATGTATCAGCTAGGGTTCTCTAGAGAAACAGAACAAATAGTGTATATATATTCTCTGAGTTCATTCTCTCTCTCTCTCTTTCTTTCTCTCTCTCTCCACTATGTGAGGATACAGCATGAGGGCAGCCATCTGCAAACCAGGAAGATAGAGAGAGAGATTTTTTTATAGCGAATTGGCTAACGTGATTATGGAGGCTGAGACCTCTCAAGACCTGCAGTTGGCAAGCTGGAGACCCAGGAGAGCCAATAGTGCAAGTTCCAGTCGGAGGCCAAGAGAAGACTGATATTCCAGCTCAACAGTCAGGCAGCGAAAGTTCCCTCTTATTCAGCCTTCTTGTTCTATTTAGGCCTTTAATTGATTGGATGAGGCCTTCTATTTAGGCCTTTAATTGATTGGATGAGGCCCACCCACATTACGGAGGACAACTGCTTTCCTCAGTCTACCAATTCAAATGTTAATCTCATTTAGAAACACCCTAATGGACACCCACAGAATAATGTTTGGCTAAATATCTGGGCACCCTGTGGCCCAGTCAAGCTGACACATAAACTAACTGAAGTAGAACATTCTTGTGTGTGTATATTTTTCTTTTCTTGCACCTAGCAGTGTTCATGACAATGCTAGTAAAACAGAAGGCACTTGTTCATAGGGCACAGCTGCTTAGAAAATAATCTAGATAGACAAGTTCACCCTCATCAATTTGGCAGTCATGCACAGCTCCTTAAATCATACTCAATCTCCAAATAAAGACAATAACAAGGTCATAATTCCACTTGACATCACAATTGTATTGGTCAGTGTTCTCCAGAGGGACAGAACTCACAGGATGTGAGTTTGTTAGCGAGAATTAGCTTTCGTGATTACAAAGATGAAGCCCCATGATAAGCCATCTGCAAGCTGGAGAGTGACAAAAGCTGGTATGTGTCTCTCAGAGAAGTTGGTAGCTGGCCCTCAGGGAAAGCAGTAGTGTGGCTGCACAAGTCCAAAGCCTCAAAACCAGGGAAGCAAATAATCCGAAGCCGTCAGCCTGAGAGTCTCTGGGCCTGAGAGTCTCTGGGAGGCCACTGGTGCAAGTCCCAGATCCTAAAGGCCAAAGAACCTGGAGTCTGATGTCTAAGAGCAGGAGGCGCAAAGGCATCCAGTTCTAGGAGGGAAAGAGAGAGGGAGTGATGGGAAGAGAGGGAGGGATGTAGGAGAGAGAGAGGGAGAGATGGGGATGGAGGGGGGAATGGGGATGAGGAGACAGAGAGAGGGAGAGATAGAGGAGGGGGAGAGAGGAAGCGGGGAGAGAGAGAGGTGGAGGAAGGGAGAAAGAGAGTGCTTGAGAGAAAGCCAAACAAGCTCAATACCCCCGTCTTCCACTGCTTTGTTCTGGCCATGCCACAGCACATTGGATGGTGCCTCCCACACTGCGGGTGGGTCTTCTCCCCAAGTCCACCGGCTCACAGGCCAGTCAGTCTCCTTTGGCAACATCCTCACACCCTCCCCCAGCAACAACGCTTCGCCAGCCAACTAGGCATTGCTCAATCTAGTCGGTTGACACCTAAAACGAACGGTCATAAGGACCACCCCGCATACGACAGGAAAGGCACCAACCTTTTCCCCAGAAGAGGAGGTAAATTCCTTGAATGATGTTTACCCTTCTCCTTGATATCCCATAACTTAAACACTATGTTGTAAAGTTAACGATACTTAAATGCTGCAATATATAGAGTCAGTATATCTATGTCACATGATAGGAAAATAAGAGAGGGAAGAAAACAAAAATACTTTTAAGTATCTTTGTTTTCATTTCTACCAACAAACATATTCAGAACAAAATAAGGCTGAAACATTCATGATAATTACAGTTTTCATCTCTGTAACTGGTCATATGGTGGTAGCCTGTAGGTATTTATTTATTTATTTTGGGGACAGAATCTTGCTATTGCTATGTTGCCCAGGCTAAAGTACAATGGCATTGTCATAGCTCACTGCAACCCCAGACTCCTGGGCTCAATCATCCTGCCTCAGCCTCCCAAGTAGCTGGGACTACAGGCATGTGATGCCACACCCAGCTAATTTTTCTATTTTTTGTAGAGATGGAGGTCTCACTATGTTGTTGCTCAGGCTAGTCTGTAATTCCTGGTCCCAAGCAATCCTCCTACTTGGTCTCCCAAAGTGCTAGGATTACAGGCATGAGCCACCTTGCCCGGCCCCAGTTGCTAATGTTTATAACTAGCTGCTTCCCTTTTTCTTTTTTTAAATTTTTGTTTATTTATTTATTTTAATTTCCACCCACAGCTGCTCAGATAGTAGTTGTTTTCATGATTAATCCGAAGGTGTCCTAAGAAATGCCATCATCACAGTGCTTCCCTTTTTCTTTAGCAAGAACCTCAAATAGTTGTGATTCTTTACCTGGTGGAGTGACCCAAATCTTCATTCCTGAAGTGTCTGGGTCATCAGTAGTCCTGCCTGGATTGGGTTGTTTTAGTTTTCCATTGACCTTAACTGCAGGGCATGGTAATACTGAAAAATACCCTAAAGGATCCCCTGTATTCTGGACATACTCTTCCTTGCATCCATCATGGTGCAGTTGTCTAATTTCCCCTTGGTAGTCTGTGTCAATCAACCCAGCCAATACCAAAGTGTCTGGCAAGGGCTCTCTTCCTGGTTTGCAGATGGTCTCCTTCTTGCTCTATCCTCACATGGTAGAGATAAAGAGAGCTCTGGGCTCTTTCTCTTCTTTAAAGGACACTGATCCCACCATGGGCAGCTTTACCTTCATGGCCTCATCTAAACTTTATTACATTCCAAAGCCCCCATCATTATCCTATATTCTTAATATCTATTCTTATATGCTTCCTCCAGATTTCTGCCTGTATAAATTAGAAAACTCAAGCATTTCTTTTGGAATGTAGTACATTTTCTCATGGGTCACCTCACCTTTAGGGACCTGCTGGAACTTGAATCTAGTTGTAGGTCTAGAAGCCAAGAGGGAGAGGGGAGCTAGATCCTGAGGAGACACAGCATTGTCTTGTATGATAGCTTCTTGAGGGGAGGGCATTACAGGCAATGCAGGATTAATCTTAGAAGGAGAAGGAGAAGCCACTTCCACTAGGGTGGGGAGACCTCTGCTGCTGGCAGAGAAGACTCATCAGAATTGGGGGCTCATTGTCCTTAGGTTCATCAGGGTCTTCACACACATCCTCCTTCCAACATTCAGGATTCCATTGCTTCCCAATCAATGCCCTCACTTTAGCACTTAATACCCTATGAGGCTGGCAATTCTTCTTGCATTGTAATTTAGCCAGTCACAGGATGAGATCTGGGGTTTGATTTTCAGCACTATCAGCCCTGCAGCTACAGAAGATAAGGGTCTCATTCAGGGCCCACACGCAAGTTTTCAGATCATTTATGCAGTGCCTGAGCTGGGGCATCCAAATCCCTGAGCTCATCCTTTTCTTTCCTTACTTTGTCCATTGGTATTAAGAGCAATGAACCAATCTCATTATATTCATTAGTGTTCTAAAAATATTCAAAAATATCATATACACAGTTATGTCGCTCCTTGCTTCTTATAAGTGGTTGATTAGTAGAATTCAATAGCATATTTCTATTGCCAGATCATGCCATGAACTCTCAGTGCTCTCTTTATTGCTGGAATGATTAGTGTAGTTAAATGTAATCATATTAGAAAGCCAATTCCAGAAACCTCATTGTTTTTTTGCTTGTTTCTTTTTTGAGACAGGATCTCACTCTGTCACCTGGGCTAGAGTGCAGTGACATCATCATAGCTCACTACAACCCCAAACTCCTGGGCTCAAGTGTTCTTCCTGTGGGACTCTAGGTGCACACCATCACACTTGGCTGATTTTGCCCACTTTTTGTAGAGATAGGGTCTTGCTGGTGCTCAAGTTGGTCTTAAACTCTTGGCCTGAAGTGATCCTCCCATCTCAGCTTCCCAAAGTGCTAGGATTATAGGCATGAGCCTCTGTGCCTGGCCCAGAAACCTCATCTTTAAAATGCTGTTCCTCTATAACCACTCTCAGAGATATAAATAAATTATATGAAATTGGCTCACATGATTGTAGAGGCTGAGAAGTTCCAAGATCTCTAGTCAGTAAGCTGGAGACTCAGGAGAGCCTGGGGTCTAGTTCCAGTCTAAGCCTGAAGGCCTGAGAACCAGGTCAGCAGATGGTGTAAGTTGCAGTTCAAGGGGAGGAAAAGACTGATGTCTCAGCTTAGCAGTCACGTGGGCAAATTTCCCTCTTACTCAACCTTTTCTTTTTTCTATTCAGGTCTTCAATTGATTGGATAAGACCCGTCCATGTTTGGAAAGCAATATGCTTTATTCAGTTTATCAGTTCAAGTGTGAATCTCACCCAGAAAAACTATCACAGACATACCCAGAATAATGTTTGACCAAATATCTGGGCACCCATTCAAGTTGACATGTAAAATTATCCATCACAAGTAATGAGAAAGTTAAGGTCACAAAAGTAGATGAAGATTTTCAGTCTGACTGAAATAGAACCTTCTTGAGTGTGTGTATTTCTTTCCCTGAACCTACCAGTGTTCATGACAATGCTAGTAAAATAGAAGGCAATTTTTGTTTGTTTGTGTTTTTGACTTTTAGAGACAATGTCTTGCTTTAATTGCCAGGCTATAGTGCAGTGGCATCATCATGGCTCACTATAACCTCAGACTCCTGGGTTCAAGTGATCCTCCTGCCTCAGCTTCCTGAGTAGCTGGAACCGTAGGCATGCACCACCATGCCTGGCTACTTTTTAAAATTTTTTTGTAGAGACAGGGTCTCAAACTCCTGGGCTCAAGGGATCTTCCTATCTCTGCCTCCGAAGTGCTAGGATTACAGGTGTGAACCACAATGCCCAGCCAGAAGACAATTGTTTATATTGCACAGTTGCTTAGAAAATAATCTAGATTAAAGTCACTAAGCTGCACTATGTGACTGAGATGTGTTTTTGGAAATTACAAAGTGACTCAAGATCTGAAAATTTGTAGGAAAATTTATAGAAAGGAAATCCTGTCAGATCTCAAGAAACATCTTTTAATTGCATCTTTTCAAAAAAAGAGTTTATTCTTTCAATTTTTCTTTTCTTTTCTTTTCTTTTCCTCTTTTCTTTTCTTTCTTTTCTTTTCTTTCTTTTCTTTTCCTTTCTTTCTTTCTTTCTTTCTTTCTTTCCTTTTGAAGGACTGAATGAAGTAGTATCCATTTTTCTTTTAGAACAAGACCTTCACCCTAGCACAAACCTGTGACCAAAAGTCACTGACGGGGAGGTGAGGGAGAAGACTGGGGAAAGGAAAAGAGCCAGGTGAGCTATTGTACACACATTACCTCCTTCAATCCTCGCCAAGATCCTTCAAGCTGATATTATTTCAGCAATTGCACTCTCGGGCACTTATCCCAGCTGGAGACATTATAATTTATGTTTACATAAAAACCTGTATGAGAATGTTCACAGAGTTTTATTCATAACAGCCAAAAACTGGAGACAACCCAAATGTCTCTCAACGAATAGATGGTTAAGGGGCTGGGCATGGCGGCTCATGCCTGTAATCCCAATGCTTTGGGAGGACAGCTTGAGCCCGGGAGTCCGAGGTTACCGTGAGCTGTGACAGTTCCACCACTGCATTACAGCCTGGGTGCCAGAGTGCCACCCTGTCTCTTAAAAAACAAAAAGGTTAAACATGAAATGTTGCTCCGAAATAAAAGGGAACAAACTGTCAATAAATGCAACAACATGAACAAGCCTTCAGGGAAGAAGAAAGAGTGAAAAAAATTCCAACTGCTTATGTGACCCTATGTATATAACATTACTGAAAGGACAAGTTTCGGAAGTGGGGGGGAGGTCACTGGTCGCCAGGGGCTGAGTGGATCCTGATGGAGAGTGGGGTGCAGGAGGGCCGGGTGCTCTGTGGTAATGGCCATGGTAGGGGATACACACACCTACACATGTAGAATTGTTTAGAACTAAATACACACACACATAAGTACGAGTAAAATGGAATAAAATTGGAGAATTATATAAATTTCTATATCCTGGTTGCAATATTGTATGATAGTTTGCAAACTTTATCATTACCGTGGGAAACTGGGTAAGAGGTACATGGGGTCTCTCTGTAGTATTTTTTATAATTACATGTGAATCTGCAATGATCCCAAAATAAAAAGTTTAACTAAAAAAATAGATACTAATATCTCAATTTTGTAAAGGAGGGAACTGACTCACAGACATTACTTTGCCCAAGATCATCGAAATTAGTAAGGGATGGGGCTAGAATTTAGGTCCGAGTTTATATTCCTCCGAGGCCTTTTTTTGCTCTGCAACCTCTCCCAGTCTTATTGTAGAGAAGAAATGCTAAAATGTAAATGATGGTTTTTATGAGATTAGCAAAATAGAATCTGCTGACCTGCAACTGATGAATTTGGAGAAGAAAGACAATTGCTGCACAGAGCTGACATGACTCGAAGGCTGCCGTGCTGTTATTTCCAAGACACTCTAAAAAAGCCATGTGAAAAAAGATTTTTCTCAAACATTGCTAAAAAAATGTGAAATGTCACATCTTCTTAGGAATATTCTGGCAACATTAATTAATAAAAACACTTATGCCCTGTCACCCTGAAACTCCACACCAGGAGGTGTGCGCCCTGTACAGAGATGCTCTTGCTCACAGCACTTCCGACACCAAACGTGTGGGCCTTCCCTCACGCCAACCAACGCTGCAACTCTTCCGACACCAGCGGGGCCTCCCTCGGCTCGATTCCATTCTGACAATAGCTACCTGAACTGAGCACCAGGCTCCACGGGTTTAAGGGTTCGGTTTCACGGGAGTGCTCCCACTTCAGGTGACAGCCACACGTGGGGCCCCCAGGGTCCCCACACTTCTGTCTGCTTTGGATACAAAGTTGGGGGGTTCCTGTGCTCCCTCCTCTTCATGGTCAGCAGTGTGCCCGACCAGCTTACAAAACCCCAGAAAGCACTTTACTTATCTTTACCAGCTTATTATAAAAGATACGAATGAACAATCATATGAAGAGGTACGTAAGGCCAGGTCTGGGAGGGTCCCGAGCACAAGACCTTCTGGAATGCTCCACCGTCCCAGCATATGGATGTGTTTGCCTACCCAGAAGCTCTCTGAACCCTGTCACTTACGTTTTTTTTTTTTTTATTCTTTTACAGACGTTCTGTTATGTAGGTATGATTGACTAAATCAGTGGCTGGCAGTGACTGGACTCAGTCTCCAGCCTCTCCCTTCTCCCCAGAGGTCTGGGGTTGAGGCTAAAAGTTGGAACCCTCCAACCGTGTAGTTGGCTCTTCTGGCCACCAGCCCCCATCCCGAAGCTATGTAGGGGGCTCACAAAGGCCACCTCATTAGCATAAACCTAGGTATGGCTGAAAGGAGCTTGTTAGGAATACCAAAAGATGCTTCTATCTCTCAGGAGAGTCCAAGAGTGTTAGGAGCCCTGTGTTAGGAACAGGGGATAAAGACCAAGTGTATATTCACTTTATCATTCCTATAGTGATAAAAGCACCAGGACGTAAGTATACACACACAAACCCAAAAACCTTTCTACATACACACATCTCCTTGTGCATCTATCTAGATAGTTAAGTTTATCCTGAAGCTGCCTCCTTACATATTTTAAGTTGAGCCTAAAGGTTTCCCTGTACATAGTGAAACGTAACCTAACTGGATGTGTAAACAGACTATAACCTACTCTTGTGCCAATCACCAAGTTTTGGCCAAAGGTGGCCAACCGTTTAAACTGTGTTCAAATAAGGCAAATGCCAAGCTGTCACCAATCCTGCTGTTTCTGGATCTCACTGCCATTTTCTGTATGTCATAGTCCCTTTTTCTGTCCATAAATCTTTTTCAACCACGTGACAGTGCTGAAGTCTCTGGAGATACTTTGTTTTGGGGGCTGCCCAATTCTTGACTCTTCCTTTGCTTAATTGAACTCTGTTAAATTTATTTTGTCTAAGGTCTTTCTTTTAACTATATATATAAATATAAATATATATTAATATATATTTTGGGGAGAGAGGGAGGGAGAAAGAGAGAGATCTGTTTTAAGGTGCTGGCTCATGTCGTTGGGGCGCTGGCAAGTCTGAACTGCAGGGCAGGCCGGCGGGTGGAGCATCCAGGCAGGCCTCCCGTGTGGCAGTCTGGAGAATTCCCTCGTCCTTGGGAAGCCTCAGGTTTTTGCTCTTAACGATGTAATTGGCTCCACGAGCACATTTCAATGACCCTTACATGTTTTTTATAATTCTCTCCCTTAACTAAGTCCTTGATCTTTTGAGTTATTTCCCAGAAATGACAGATTTTCTGCAAGACAAGGAGCTGAGATTCTGAAATCACCAGGGCAGACTTCCTGCCACCATCCCCCTCTACCTGCCACCATCCCCCTCCAACTGCCACCATCCCCCTCTACCTGCCACCATCCCCCTCCACCTAACACCATCCCCCTCCACCTGCCACCATCCCCCTCCACCTGCCACCATCCCCCTCCTCTACCTGCCACCATCCCCCTCCACCTGCCACCATCCCCCTCCTCTACCTGCCACCATCCCCCTCTACCTGCCACCATCCCCTCCTCTACCTGCCACCATCCCCCTCTACCTGCCACCATCCCCTTCCACCTGCCACCATCCCCCTCTACCTGCCACCAGGCACGTGGCCCCTCCTTATAAAGTCCAGGATCTCTGTTAGTCAGAGAGATGGATTTGAGGCAGCTTCTCCCATTCTTCCAACAAGACGTCTGTCATATTAAAAATTCCTTTCTTCCTTGGCAATCCTGGATGTCTCAGCAATTGGATCTTTGTGCAACAAACAACCTAGACCAAAAACCCCTTGTGGTTTCCACAAGGCATCAAGGGATTGGGCGAGGCCCACTCACATTATCAATGCAGTTTCCTTTACTTAGTCAGCTGATTATAGATGTTAACCCTGTCTGCAAGACACCTTCACAGGCCTTTGACTAGTGTTGGATTAAATAACTATGGTCTAGCCAAGGTGACTCATAAAACTAGACATCGCAAGAAGGGAAACAGGAGAGGCGCTATAGCAGTGTGTAACGTGGGCTGTGGGGGGCGGGGGGAGCACGGATGTGGGTAAGAGCGGAGGCATGTGTCTGCTCACGTCATACATGTAAGTAATGTTATGTATATGTGTCTATATGTGTGTAGAGAAGTAAATTACTTTTTTATTTAAAAAAACCTTAAGTTCTACTGTCAAATTCTCTTGTTTGGACTGAGCCTTCATATACTCCCATGAGGGGCATCCAGGGAAATCCTTGCCCACGGGATCCTTGCAAAAGCAAGTTGCCTGCTCGAGGCAGAGGGGGGACTCCGGCACGGCTTCTGGAGTGCCAGCCCCGGCACAGCCCGGCCTCTGCCCTGTGCTACGCCCTGCCACCCCCTCCCTCCTCCTCCCCAACCCCAGCCGCAGCTGGTGGGAGCACAGCTGACCCGCGGCTTGTGGGGCTTCCCTTGAAAAGATAAGTGG